GTCTAGGAGCATTATTCTTCTTTTCTTACGTTTTTTTTTTTTCAATTTTCCCCCCCCATTTTTCCTGAATAGGGTAACAAGCTGTCTTTCAATATTTACAAAGTTATTTTTTAAATATACATGTATATCCAAGAAACTTAATTATTTTCTAGCTGCCTATTGAACTTCATGAAAGAAAAGTTAATCAGACAATATCCTGTTCTAGCCTAGAAATCAGACTGTAACATATAGCTTTATGGAAATGTACAACTGCAGCTTAGTGAGGGGATACTACTTCATCCATCCATAGAGAGAAAGGAGATGTTTCACAAACTGGTTAACTGAGATTGTTAGGATGGTGTTAGAGTATCTAAATAATTGATAAAAGTAAAACATTTTTTAAAATATTATTTATTTTGTTCAGAAATATAGGAGATTATTATAAAGGAAAGTCTTTGAATTTCAAAGTAAATTTGCTGGTTTCAAAGTCACCAACATGCACAGACGTGTAACAAATCAGGTAATGAACTTTTACATTTTGTAACAGCTGTTAGTTTTGCATTCTTTCTGTGTGACTTGACCTAGTTAAGCCTCAAAGATGGCAAGTGCTTCTTCTCTACACCAGCAAGAATTTTATTATTCTACCTTAGATTCCAAATTTACCACATATTTAGTCTAGCAGTGTTTTTGTTGCTATTCCTGTGTACTCTAATGTGGGCTTCCATGCTTGTCTGGCTCTTGCATAATTTATTTTTCACCTGTTTCTAATTCACTTAGCGTGGTTGCCCTTGACACTGTAATTTCTGCCAAGTGAACATGTTGTTAATTAAAAAGAATACTGGCAATTCCAGTGTTTTTTGGTTTTTTGTTTTTTTAAGGGTATATCAAGGATTCACTGGTTTATGACTTATCTTTGTATGTGTCTTCCAGGATGTGTCCTGGCTACTGGTTTGGCTGCTCTCTCACAGTTTACTGAAGACCTGTCAGGAAATGTGTTTCAGTATAAACAGGCAAATAGCTGCCTTAAGCTAGTGCTGAACCTCTTTTGTTCTGGTCTCAGTTTGAGTAGTGAAGGACACTGATGACTTAGTAAGTAGTTAAGAATAATGGTTAAACACATCCATCTCTTTTGGCTTGGTCAAATTGTTCTGAGGCAGTGCAGAGACACAGAGGAAGTTCCAAGGTAAGAAAACCTGTGTTAAAATCACAGTACTCAGTAGGAAGGGGTGGGACTGCCCTTTTTACCTTCCTCTGAGTTTCGGAGGATGCTCAGAGGAAGCTCTTCCTTTTCAAAGTTAAGTCTGTCCTTGCTGGTGATGGATCTGAAATAGAAAATGGCCAACTCCCCTGTTTCTGCAGGACTGCTTTCCTTGTACTTTGCTCTTTAGGACATGGACAAACCCTTGAACCTCAGCAATGCTAATTTTGTTTGAAAAAGGGAAACAAAAATGATGATTACAAAGCTAGCCTGTCTGGTAAAGTAAACAAATATTTTACTTTTGCTTACTCAGAAAAAAAAGTTGCAAAGGGCAAAACTGTCAGGACAGCAAGCTGTGATCTGGTCCAGTCTAAGATGAGTAGCATTTCTTGGGAGAGAAGTGGAGATCTGTCAGACTGAAGGTAATAGTCTGGAGGTTATATCTAGTTCTGTCACAGTGACATTTAATATGTTATTATGTTTTTTGGTAGCAATTCATGGCGGGGAAAAAAAAAAACAAAAAAACCAAAAAATGAAACAACACATTGCATTTTTTTAAGAGCTTCAGCCTTTAATGCTTGTCACTACTGCTGAGCTGAAAAACACATCCACAAATCCAGCTTTACTTGGCATATCGTTTCTCTTAGTTTTTCTTTTGCCTTGTATTTTATGCACTTCCTTTTTCAAATATTTATACCATATCCTGTTTTCCTGAAGTCAGTAAATATAATTTTTTTCTTTATTGTTTAAAAAGAAATGAAAATAATCCTGTCTATCTTTTTCAGTTTGGATGTTGTAGTTCAATTTCCGTCTGATATGGGGATTTTGTCATCCTGAGCAGATTTCCCCAGACACAGGGTGTGGTTCTGCAGACTTAAACTGAACAGTCCTGTTGCTGTTATTTAAATTGAATCAGCCATGCTAAATTGAATCAGTCCATTTCTCTTTACAGCTCATCATTCTATGTTTAGGATGAAACATAGCTGTGCAGCTGGAATAAATAACAATTTATTCAGTGAACTCTTGGCTGGAAGGTGTTGATACTGATCTGCTGTGTGGTGTTTTTTTTAATTTGTCACTAATTGTATTATCTGTATTTCAAAGTTACATCACAAGTGTATGTGCTAAAAGCTTGAATTTGTTTGTACTAGAACATAAAACTAGTTAAAACCCCCAGGTAATAATTAAGGAACACAGTACTATTCACTTCAGCGTGTAAATTTCTTTCCATTCAACATAACTGCCTCTGAGACGACTGGATACCTTAAGAATATCTTCTCTTTGTGAGCTGTTGCGCTGTTATTTGGCACGAATAAAGTAAAAACAGCATTGTCATAGTCTGTGGATGAAGAGGTCAAATACTGTTACGCTTTACATCCAGTTTTGCTACGTCAAGAGCAGTATAGTTGGCTAGGCCTTCCACTCTGGTTGCCAGTCATTGCTTCCTGCCCATTACTTGTTCTTCTGGCTCACACTGTGACACTGGATGCTTCGACATGGCTTGAATGCTACTGGTGTGACACTATTTCTCCCATGGAGATGTATACCATTTCTTTATGAAATAGCCAGGAAAGGAAAAGATAGATGGTACTTATGTCAATTTCTACTGTGAATTCTTGTGTGAGGAAAGTATACATAAGTCTATGGAAATAAATACCTTTTTTTTTTTTTTTTTTTAAGGTGCACTTTCAAGGCTATTCCAGTCATCTTTTGTGCACAGATCATTGTAGATTCATTGGTGTGTAGAACTGCTCTATAAACAGCAAAAGGATGATACCACACATGATATCATACGTACATCTCCATGTATTTCTCACAATCTGACATAAGACCCATCATTCTGTCCTCTCCAGCTTACAGCTTGGATATTACTCTGGATGTGTTAAGGAGTCAGGGAGAAGCTTCATATTAGAACCAGATTCATTTTAGTACAGCATTTAAGTGTAACCAGCTCAAAACAGCACTACAACGGCACTAGAGGCACAAGCAAACAAGTGACGGGTGTACAGCCTGTGGGAACGGCCCCCAGTAGGGGACTTGGGATGTGAGCTTGTGCTTCACAGAGAGCTTCTTTCTCTTTGCAGTGGTGCATCCTGGATGACTATTCTGAACGCTTTCTCATAGCTTTTCTTATAATGGTGGGTTTGAGTTGGCTGTTGAGCTCTCTGCCCTCCTACTCCTTGCAGGTGGGAAGGATATTTGGTCTTTTTTTTTTCTAAAGCTTGCTTTTGCTTCAGTGGTGAGGCTTCTGGCAAAAGAAAGAAAAAAATCTGAAATCTCTGGAAATGGCAATGTTCGGTTATTAATAGAGAAGGTTATTAAGTAGAGGGGATGTTAGCATGTTAGCAAGACTCTGAAATTTGTACAGCCTTTTGAATCAAGTTGTTACTGCCTCTTTGGTAGCAATTTCAAGTGCAGCTTAAAATGTCTCCAGGCAGCGTGACTAGATTGTTGTAAAGACGGTAGGACAAAAATAAAAGGATTTCGTTAGTGGCTGGAATCCTTTGTCTCCCTAACACAGTGAAAGAAATACTCGATACTGCAAGTGGCACAGCATGAGGACGGTACTGGAGGGGCACCTGCTGCTGCTCTGGGTGAGCTGCCATGACAACTGTGCTGCTTCTGGCTGCCTGGTCTCTTCTTGCAGAGCACACAGGGTCATTGGTATTCTGAGTGCTGCCTGCTGCAGGCAGCAGCAAGCCCTCCCTCCAGATATGCCAGTATTTGCCATTATCACCCTGGGTAAAATATGCAAATGGTGCTGACAGGTAGCTGGAAAGGAGAAATACCCGTTTCCCTAGAAACAATCATTTGTTTTACCTGGTTAATTAAATGGTTTTACCAAATAGTTCCACCTTTCCTAGCTTCTGCCTGTTTTTTATTCCCAAATCTCATTCAGGGTATGCAATGCCAAAAAAGAATGTTAAAAATAATAGAGAAGGGGTGGGGAAGGTTGGGAGTGGGAGAGGATGTAAAGCAATTACACAGGAAAATGCTGATCAGATTAGTTTTAAGAATTATCTTGCTACCTGTAATCTTTTTTTTTTTTTTTTTTTTTTTCTTAGAGTGAATTAAAAGCAGTTCAGTGAGATTTATTTTGTGGCATTATTGGTTTTAATTTGTTCTAAATTAGATATTTACTCCTACACAAACTGATTTCTTGAGGCTTAGTTGCTTTTTTGTTCTTATTTTTTCCATGATCTTTAGTTTTGTCTCTTTAAAGAAAGTCTAAAGCATTTGTCCTTTTTAAAGCCTCATCTTTCTTGAAATAGATTGTAACAATAGTACTTTAACAGTTAAAAACAGAATGAGCTGTGAAGGGCATGGAAGGAACTCTGTATTTTGTTTTTTTCTGGAATACCTTTTAAGAAAAGGGACAAGTAGTGGTTTGGTTTGATGTGACATTTGAAGATGAAAATTAAATACATTAGAGCATTAAGAAAAATATTACAGAAGCAAAAATTTGAACAGAGTTTGCTCACAAGCCATTAGTGCAAGAATACCACAAGCTTTAATGCTACTTACCAGTAGGGTTTCTAGCTGCAAAGCCATTACCATGCACATATAGGCAAAAGTACAGGTAGAAGAAGTACAAGAGGAGCATGTCTTGGAGGTAAGGGGCAGTAAGTATTTACATTCTTGACTGTGAGTGTTCCTGCACATGAGGAATAGCTAAAGTACTTGAGAACTACGACTGTTATTATAGAAGAACATTAGAGTAAAAAGGAGTACACAAACTTAATAAGAGTTGCTGACTAACGGAAGATTTACCATTTGAAAATGCTACATTTGTTTGTTTTAACCTGTATGTTTTGCCATTAAGGTGACATGCTTGCAGGACTTCTTTGGAGATGATGATGTCTTCATTGCATGTGGACCTGAAAAATACCGGTATGCTCAGGATGACTTCGTTTTGGATCACAGTGGTAAGACTGCATTTCCTGAACCCAATAGAAACAAATTCATTGAGGTCTTTCCTAACCTCTGGTCAATCCTCAAGAGCTATATGATATAGGAAAATATGTGTTGGAATATATTTCCATATCACTTAAAGCATTTTTCCCAACCCATCATCTATATTCTGTACATCAGTTAAAATCCACCAACAAACATGATCTGTTTTCTTAGGAAACAAATCCTGTCCTTAAACTTGCCTGGAAAACAGCATTTTAAAAAAGTTCACTTACATTTCTAATATAAGTGTAATTTCTAAAATTGCATTTTAAAAGGTTCACTTACATTTCTAGTGTTTCTAAAGCCAGTTACAAACATTTTCTTTTGACAACTGCAGACTACAAGATGGTCTCCATGTTATTGTCTTCATGTGAGTTTTGAAAAATCTTATACATAACTGCTAATTTCATGTCTCAGATTGTCCTGATAAACAATTCATATATCATTCTTGAATGCTGTAGACCAAATGTTGTGCTTGTTTATATTGTGAAAGTTTTGTGGGTAGCAGTAATTGCCCTGGCAAGAATCATCAGATTATTTGAGGTTCACTTTGGATTGTGTATTTATGCTGTTTTTTCTAATTGCTATAAACAATCTAATTTGATTACAAAATCTTCTATTATATTAAGTAATATAGTTATATGCCTAACCATAGTGTTTTATACACCTGAATGCGTTGGCAAATTCAGCTCTCTCCCATTCTACTGTTATTGCCAGCATGCTGCTCTTCTAGAACTACCAGAGTATTTTGATTCAAATAAATGGTAATTTTTACATACGGTTTTAAACTAGCTGAGGTCCAGTTGTATTCTTGTGCAGCCATAAGAGAACATGACCGTATTACCTCACACTGCAAATTCTAGTCTGGACAAAAATATAAATACCCTTGGTTAAAAGTTTGCTTTTCCCATACTAACATGTGCAGACTAACCACGCTGATTTCCTTACTGAGAAACTAGAAACTGAGGGTTTCTTTCTCGCTTGGTCTCTTCACCATCAATGGGCCTTGCTTTGTATAATACTTTTGGAGGACTTCATAGATAAATAGATAAAAGCAATTTCAGTACAGAGTGGATCATGCCTGGGGTGTACAGCTCTACGTATCATTTTTGATGATGACTTGATAGCATAGTCATGGCATTGCCATTACAGTGATAAATAACAGGGACAAAATTAAGAAGGAAAACGATATGATTAGATGGGGAGAGATTTGCAATAGATGCTAACTGTAGGAATTTAAATTTTTCAAAAATGTCAATACATGTATGATTATTTACTCCTTTCCTATTTGGGTTGTCCTTTATTTCATGATATATAGTTGATGGTAAATTACAGTAATCTGTTGTCTCAGCATTTTGGAAGCAATAGGCATTTTTCACCTCCTCAAAAATTGTTCACAACATCAGTTTCTTGCAAAAGAAGGTAAAATAAGCTTGCTGTGCATTTACCCTACATGAAGTTGCCATTTCAGCACACAGAATTTACTGAACTATCAGAGGAACATTGTCTTTGACTGACTTCAATCATTTGGCCGCGCATAGGTACAAATTTGAATAATTATCATAATCCAAGTTCAAGACTTTGAATATGACATGTGGAATGTTATATAAAGCATTTGGCTCAAAAATTTTTTTATGATGTGTGGGTTAAGTCCTGAGATTGCTTCATTCAGCTTGGCAAGCGTATCGGGAAAACACTGGTTTTTTTCTGGATAATAAACAGCAACTGCAGTGTTTGCAGAAAGCTGGTACACTGGATTGTGTTTGAAATTCCACCTGCTTGGTTTGCAGAATGCCGTGTTATGAAATCGTCTTACTCCCGATCATCTGGCATGAGGTATTCAGGGTCCAAAAGTCCAGGACCTTCACGTCGAAGCAAATCACCTGCATCAGGTACAACATCTAGGATGAGCACATGAAATACACTCAAGCAGTTGCTTAAGGGGTTGAAAAAGCTATTGGCTCTTTGTGAAATACAACTGGCATGATTTCTTTCCTGATAAAAATGTTTTACCTGTTTCTCACATAGATTTAGTACTAGTTTATAATAAAGCATACATTTATTTTTGAGTCCTAAGAAGAAATCTTGTTTCTATTTATTAATTAACAGGCACAAAAAGTTTGATTTTGAGAAGATTGGAATAATTTGTTCCAATAGTTTACCTGGGATATGCTTTCAGCATAGCAGTTAATTTGCTTGAAAACTTAACTATAGGATGGCTATGTGGTTGAATTGATGCTCATGGACTATAGTCTTAAATGTTTTGAATTCAGAAGCTTTTTCCTATGTAAACCAAATAATGTCAAAATACAGGATTTTGTTATTTGAAGCAAGTTTAGGAGCTATTCTGGAATATAATTACTCATTAACAGAGATTTTTTTTTCTTGTACTCTGTATAATTTCAAAGTAAGGTTCATGTTGTGTATTTGACGGAAGCGTGACTGAATCCCATCTGTTCCAAACACTGAGTCTTTTATACAAATAAATAGAAAGGAGAATCTTGTTTTTCCTATTCTAGTTTTGCATCTAATTTTTAAATAAAATAAAACTCAATTGATTTCTTTCTCTCAGACCTGAAGAAGTAGTCCTGAAATCAAACCACTGAATATGTAAATATACAGTGCTCTGTTTCAGTTGTAATTATATGTGTGTAAGCTCCTATGCCTGTATTCAAAACTACAATATGTTCCAAATTCTCACATCCATATCAATATTTATTGCTTAATAGATGCTGTTTAAAGTCATTTTATGTCTGTGAGATCTTTAGAAGTGGAATATTTATCTTCTGTTTGCAAAGTTGGTATATTTAACTGGAAAGCCTCAAATGGTGAGTTTCAGGAATGGCCTGTATTTCACACAATCCTGTTAACTGCAGTCAGATTGCACAGGACATATATAGAATATATTCATTATCAATAGTGAATTTTAGGCAAAGTATTTAGAAATCAGCACTGCCATTTCCTAATTTATTTCTCCTTGGACCATTCCTTTCTCCTTCCATTGGTTAGCTTAATCTGAAAATTTATCCAAAGTGTCTGCATTTTATCCTTCTATTTACTTGCCTTTTTTTCTCATGTGATGCTATCTTTTTTTTTTCCCCTTCTTTCTTTCATGCATGTTCAGAGCTGTTTAATAACTTTTCTCCTTAATGTCTTTTTCCTTTGTGTCAAATATATGAGTACAGTTAAGAAGGGTGGCCACTACTCCAGTGCTCATTCTTCAGCAAAATCCCCAGGTGAGCCATTACTGTTATGGCTGTATATCACTAGTGTGTCTCCTTCCTCTCCATTTCCATTTTCCTCTGCATCTGTGAGTATTTTTAAGATTGAAATGCACATTTTGCATTTACTGAGCCAGACCCATAATGCATCCATTATTCTTGTGAAAAGTAGGTCTTTGAGATAATCTAAATGACGCTTTATAGTTGTTTGTTGGACATCTGCTACCATTGTTAATGTTAAATTAATCTTACTACAAGCAGAAAAGCATTCTGAGAAGCAGAATAGAAATGTTCAGGTAGTGGAAAAAAACAAGAGAGGCGCTGACAAGAGAGGTGCAGAAACGTGTACCACACCTTTCTATTTGCAGCCTCTTGCTCTTCTTTTTTTCTTTTGGTGTTTTAGAACCAAGGCTGGAATGACAAGAAACCTCTTTCAACCTTCAGTTCCAAGTGAAAATTTTGCTGGTATTGCTCTGAAACACTAAATCTCTTTCAAGTAACTTATGTTTTCATTAGCAAATAAGTTGTGACTTTGGACCATATTAAAAGTGTTGACTTTTACCTTTACAATTTTAAAGGTATTCACAGGTTTTACAGTATTCAGCATTCCACTACAGTAAATTGTCACTTAACGTGTACTAGTTAAGGAAAAACAGAGTAGATTTATTTTTCTTTATGTTCAAGCTGCTTTTTCGGTGTAGAAAGAAAACTCAAAAGTACTTACACTTAGAAATTATTTAAGATTGCAAGTTTTGCATATACATGAAATAATCAGCAAATCAATTCAGCAAACAAGCTAAGTGCTAAAAATAAATACAGATTGCTTCTGTTTTCCAAGTTTAAAAAAAAAAAAAAGTACTGCTGTCTGCAGGGGGGTTGGACTCAATCTCTAGAGGTCCTTCCCACCCCTACAATTCTGTGATTCTGTGATTTACAGACATCCCTTTCAGATCCTTGGCAGAGTGTGCTACGTATTGTATAACAACAGAAGGAAAATAGTTGGAAGGAACCTCAGGAGGTCATTTAATCACACCCCTGGCTCAGAGTGCCACCACACTTGTCCAGCAAGCACAGAGCTGGAATACTGTGAGTGTATGGTGGGACATTCTTCCTTAAAAGAGGGAAGATTGTTAACTAGCCAAACTCTCGGGTACAGCTTAGTGGTTCTGCCATTGCTTAAAAGAGTGATAGTGACTTAGAGACGGAGATGACTTATGGTGTAGGCTTCAATGGTTATGTTCAGGAAAGACTGTCTTATCTATGAGTTTCATAAAAAAGAATTTGTGAAGAAACAAAATTGTTTTTCTTCTGTAGTAATAGTTGGTCTTTTTTTGTTCATGTACTTTACAGCTGGGAACTACTTCTAACAGCATTTACTAGCCCTTCTCATCTTCATACTTGCAAATTCCTTTCAAAACAACAAGGCGCTGACATGCTCAGTTCAAAGAAGTTTATGTAAAACAAAGTGATGAAAAGCAGCATATTTACAGATCTGCATGAGGGACATAGGCTTCTAAATTCCTTTTACTTCTTTAAAAATGCACTTAAGCTGAAGTTACTTATCTATTGCTTGTGTGCAACCCTTGTTAAAGTCAAACTCAAAACTATGTTGAAATACTAAATATCTTTTGCAGAAAAAAATAAATTCTTAGTCCTGTAACTGGTTTGGGAATCAATTTTAAAAATTTCAAGACAGACTTATTCTATAGCTAAATATTTGTACCTTAACATCACACATGAGAGATACAGTTATGAAGAACAAGAATTTCTGGAAGTTGCAGTGCAGTCAGCCTGGACTACTAACAGGTAGACTGCTGAAGCTGAAAAAAACGTATTTAGATTACACTCAAAAACAGCAAAAAGCCCACAACCAACAAACCATCAAAAATTGTGTTCTGCAGAATGTTATACCTGAAAAGTATTGTATTGATACAAAAGGGAGAAAAAGACAGCCTTGTGTTTCTGCTTATGAAAACTTCCTCTCCCTATATTTTGTTGTGCAATATCACAGTAAATTCTGGAATGTAAAGAGATTATGTTTATTACAAAAGCTCTCACACTTGCAAAGTACAGAGTTGACTTTTTAAAATTCTGAAAGAGCAATGTGATATTTGTGTATTCTCTTAAACCCATATATAGCCACATGAGTTTTGGGTGAATAATTTTGTGGTATGTGATCATATAATTTATTCCTAATTGATGACAAGTCTGTTTTGATCTTTATGCACAGATTTGAGTGATATCTAGTCAGAAAGAGTTATTACATTTTAGAGCTAGTTAGGTGGGTTTGTCTGCTTGTTTTTAATCATCTTCCATTTGTTTGCTTGTATTACTTTTGGCAGTTAATGGAACACCAAGCAGTCAATTATCCACTCCAAAATCTACAAAGTCCTCCAGTTCTTCACCAACAAGCCCAGGCAGCTTTCGTGGACTCAAGGTAAGTATCAGATCCATAAAAATACTCTATTCTCTTATTAATTGGTGTATTACAGTAACACTGAATAATAGTTTTTTTTAAAAAAAAAGGTTATAATTCTATGGAGCAGCCTTGCTAGTATGAGGTTAAAGTCAAGGTTAGAGTGCAAGAGGGAGCTGATGTACAACTTCTGTATTTCATCTCTCAATCTTTGTGTCTTGTCACCATCTTTGCAGGGTGGTGAACTGAGCTTAAGGAAATCTGAAGATGTTGACAGTGGTTTGAATACGCCAATTAATCCTTCAGGTTTTGCACTGTTTTGTAGATGGCATAAATTCTCGGAGTAATTTATATCCCCTTAGCATATATTAATGTAGTATCCTCTTCAAAATAGTTTATCATCCTGCAGCACTGCTCAAAATTTCATCTGAAGCACCCTTCCTTCACCTGTGGCACAGAATTTCACTACTTAATGCAATCTCCTGCCAGAAAGCATGAGAGGGATTCCTTTGAGAGCTGCCTGAAATCTGGCAGACTTTTCTCTGTGTTGCACCAAGAGAATTCTCTGCCTCTTGTATGAAAGAATGGCAACATCTATAGTTCTTAGAGGCTGCCCGGAGCCTTTTACTTGGTAAAATTAAAGGAATGGTCTGGAGCACACAGCAGAGAATCATACTGCTGCATTTGTGCAGCTCTCCTTTCAAGGAGAATTTTCTTATGGAATCATGAATTGCAGCTTTTGTGGAAGCAGACTACATGGTTTTCTGTCTGATTATTCTGATCAAGTAATAGCTCCCTTTGGTGAGCACAACAGTTGTGAAGAGGCTGCAAAATTCTGTGGAGAACTGTTGTCTGAATTAAGGGTCTGGCTAAAGAAGTGATTTGAATAGTATTTAGATCTGTTTTTTTGACATGCTAATTGTTACCACGTCTTTGTTTTGTGAAGAGTAATCTTTTCTCCAGATACTTGAGAAAAGACTTTGATTTCCATGTTAAATTTCAATATATTTTAGTGTTTGGCTCATTTAGACAATTCATATTAATGAGCTGTACCATTCCATAGCTGCTTTTTGTCCAAAGCAACATAGATTGATCTTTGTTTATAAAGCACTTTCAAGAGCTGCAATAGTTCAGATATTGAAAATTGTAACCGTGGTCTTAAATTCGTCTTGACAGCTCTTGTATAAATTTATGGTAAAGAATGCCAAAATTAGTGGACATGAGGCTCTCAGCTGCTCCGTGCAATACTTAACAAATGCTCGTTACTGAAATTACAAGTTTAGAAACTGGATAATTAGGCTTTTTTTTTCCTCTCCATACGGTGTTCAATAGATTAAAGCTCCATTAAGAAAGAGAGAATTCTGTTAGTTTTTCAAGCGTTTCTCTGTGAAGTGGATGTGTCCTGTTTTCCCTTCACTGTCAATTTCAATAAAGTAGACTGCTGTACCTTTTCATCTAGGAGTTTAATTGATGCTAGATATTAATGAGTCTTCCTGTCTTCCTGTCAAGTCATTCCTATATAACAAAAAAAACCACCAACTATAAATGAATCATCTCAGACCTGATGTGTCACTGAAGTAGTGAGTATCCCTTATTTTATCCCATTGAGATGTATCTGCTCCAGCTGTGTTCCTAAGACTAAAGATAGGAAAAATTAGTGGGTGAATCTCAGGATAATTTCCAAAAGGATGAAGAACACTGTGCAATTTCCTGGTTATGTTCTAGTATTAATGACAGTTTCAGTGGAAAATATCAACATAAAAACAGTAACAGAGAAGCATTTTAATGCAAAACAAGATTATTTTAAGAAACCCATTGCTATTACTCTAAGATTGATCTTGGCAAATCCAATGACAAAAACAGCAGGAAAGCACAGACCAATTTCAGTATTTTGAGATTATTGGTGCTCTCTATTATTGAAGAATTCCTTGTTGCTACAACTGCATCACTGCACAGACAAATAATCTGGTTTTCTGTGCTTATTTAAAGGTACCATGAACTGCAGCTGAACGAAAATGAGGATATAAATAAATACTGTGGCAGACAGTGAAGGTATAAAGAATATTTCTGAGGATTTTTTGGCTTTGGAAATGCAGTATTATAGCTGCCTTTTCCTTTAAAGTGAAGCCTTCTCAGTCCACAAGGATTCTTTCTGTTTGCACTGCTTTATAAGTACAAGTGCAGAATCTCCTTGCAGAAAACACTTCTGATGAACAGCTTATCTTCTAAGGGAAAGGTTTTACTTCTGTTCCTTTTTGGCTCTCCAAATAGAGCACCCATATGCTATTAATTGTTCACTGCATACATTAAGCCAATATGCTCTACAACATTCCGATTTTGTAAAAGTGTTTGAACATTTTTTCTGGACTCTCAAATGATATTGAAGTCATCAGAATTTATGCTATGGCTGCAGAATAATAAACACTACACAATTCTCCTACAACCTTAAATAAATGCCTCTAGTCTAGTAAGTGAAAAATAAAGATACACCACAATGTTGCCTTTTGACTGTAACTGCATGAATAAATAATAGCACACATTAAAGAAGCAAGCAAAGTTGCGTACTACTTTCCTTTTGTTTGTCCTTTCATTATGTTTTTAACCTCACAATCTGAGCTCATTACTAAGCATTTAACCTATTGTAGAGGTTTGTTTCAAGGTAAGGATTTAGGTATAACAGACAGGGGCATGAACTACATGGTTACTTGTTACTTGCAGTTGGTTCTCAATGTGTGTTTATAGACTCAGATATGTAATGTCATAAAGGGTTCTTTGACTCCTAGCTCACCTGGTACATGTGTTACTAAGCATGACATGTATCATAAAAATCATCAGAGACTATAGTATGTATGAGATTTTGAACAGTAGTGTTGTAATATCCTTACTTGGGTGTGTTTTGTTGTCTCTTACTGGAATCAAGTACTCTGAAGTCTTACCTTTTTTTTTTTTTTCCTTAATAAAATTATACTTTGCAGATGAGGCATTTCTTAGAATTGCAATTATGCTAAGAAGTAGTGTTTGAATTTGTCTTATGTTACTTTTTTGACTTACTGAGCAAATGATCGAAGAGAAAGGGCATTAAGACCCAATCCAGCAATTAAGTTAAGCACTTGCTTAATTTTAAGCTATTGATTAGTCCCTTTTACTTCAATGGGACAGTTAATTTACTTAAAGTTAAACATGTGCTTAAGTGATTTGAGAGATCAGTACCTATCTCCATCAAGGCAGTAATTGTTAGTATTGTATGCATGTTTGCCTGTTAGCAATGGCATATTAGGGATATATGCAAGGAATTATCGAGCCTAGGCAACAGCAGTTCTGAGAGGAGTTCTTTAAGTGTTGCTTTTGGTAAATCTACAATTAAGTTTCTTTCTTGTTCATAGAGTAGATAGAAAGACTTGGCTATTCGGTGATGGGAAGAAAACCAATGTATTCAACTCTATGTTATCTCTGCCTTGGGTTCTCTGAAAGCTTTACATAATATGGTGAAACTCAGAATCTCTTTAGGAGAAACAGTAAATCTTTGCATGGTTCTTCAGTGTTACCAGAGCAGTGCAACAAAAAGTATTTATATTGTTTTTATCTTAGAGATTTGTTAGTATTGAGCATTGTAATAAAGCACTTACGTACACGTACAGCCATGTACACCAGACCAGGCAATTCGGTGACAGAAGTCTTCTGACAAGTGAAACAGACACAAAGACACCTTTAGGTGGGAAGCAGTAACACTGCAGAAAAAAAAAAAAAAAAAGCTCTAGAAGGCACTATCCCATATGGCTACCAAGAAGTTACTTATTGAATGTGGGGGGATAAAAAAAACAACACCAAAACATTTCTACAAACATTTGTATCATGGACAGTTTATCTATCCTGAGTGCAAAGGTTAATTGCACTCAGGTCAATTAAAGGTCAATTAAAAAGGTCAATTAAGGTACCATTCTACTTCAGTAGAATGTGAAATTCAATCTGTGGATCCTTCCTGAGACTCTCGTTAGATGAAAAATAAAATCCCACCAGATGTACACTTATCTCAGATTACCTTCTTACTTTTTCCATCTTTTTATATAAACACAATTTTTCTGAGGTATGGTAGCATTTTCACTCAAAAGACATATAAAAGTCTTATGTACTGGGTGAGTAGCATTAACTGAAATGAAGACTGACAAGCTGCTGTTTTTTTTATCTCCCAAATCATAGACTCAGGCTCTGAAACAGATCTTCAGGGACCCTGGCCAGTCCCTCCCTACTTACCCATCACCTTATACTTGCACACTCATTTTACTTCATCTCTTGAATTCTGTGATGATTTAAAAGCTTTTGTGATTTTCAATTGATTTTTTTTTTTTTCCTGGATACTTCAGATGTTGAAAGAAAAAAGAAAAAATAAAAGAAAATCCTACTTTGATTATTTGGCTGTTATATGGTAGAAACAGGCGTCATACAATGAGGTAATAATATTGCCTTGGGTCTGAGTTTTCTATGACTTGCATATGAGAGAGAAGGTGGATTTATGTCCTGTGCACAGTGTAAGGGGAGCAGTACTGAAGGTGCTTACAGTGTAGACTAGAATACAGGAGGTGGAGTTGTTGCAAAGTTTAATCTGCATGGTGATCATAGATTCCATCTGTATTCAGTAGTGTATCAGTGTGCATCCTCTTCTCTTCTCTGTGCAAATCCAGCCATGACTAGTGAACTAGGGATATCAATCGTGCAAGATACTCAAAATACCACAAATCACTGGGTAGCTTAATGATCAGAAAATATCTAATTAATAATTGTTACTTAGCCATGAGTCACTTGCTATTAACTCACATCCCTTTCCCACCTTTTCTGTCTAATCAAGTACATCATAGACAGCTGGAGAGTTTATGTCTACTCTGACACAATAGGGAAAGACTAGACTGGTTTTGCCAATGAGGAACCGAGACCAGTAGACCCAGCTCCCAAAATACAGCTAAAGTGGGTTAGACCTCATCTCTAGAGCCATGAGGTAAATAATTATTGGCAGATATAAGGTTAAGTTGCTTTTTCAGCTTCTGATCAATCATCTCAGCTAGAACAGCAACATTAGAATTTTTCCTTTTCCTATTGTCTTAGCTTTTTGTGTCTTAGCTATTTTCCTGCTCCTATCTGTTTCCTTCTTGTAAATACAGTGGTAAGAAGTTATGTGCCTAGTCACGCTCTGACCTGATTATAAGGATGAAGGAAGGTGGAAATGTGAGCTAGGTATTCATTTGTATTTTCACTCATTCAAAAGCCCAAATGGATTACTGATGTTTTAGTGTGACTCATGTCTAATATTTTGCAGGGATCTCTTCTGTTACCCCTGTTTCATACCTGAAGGTGTGACTGATGGGATAGGAGACTGACTCATGATTTTGCATCAGTGTCATTTAAACTAAGTGTCCTTGTTCCTAATCCTTGTTAAACAAATAGCTCAGAAAGACTGTTACATTAACACAGTCTCATTTTAGGTTATTAGCAGTGAGTAGTAGTAGTAGCTGCCTGGTTGCTGTTTGATGCTACTGCTATGCCAAATGCTGGTAAACAACAGAGGCTCTGCAAAATTAACTTGTACAGCTGTACAGTTGTACAGCTACCGTACCTTTAGCTGATCTGGCAGCTCAGCTGCCACTAGAAACTTAAGCATTCATTAGCATTTCATGAGCCTTTAGACAATATCCCTATCTGTCAGTTCAGTTTTTTCGTTGACAATAGTGTTAATGATTTAAAATATTCTGCAGTGTAACCAGACAATGTCAGCTAAATGGAAAATGCTGCATTTGGATTCCTGGTGTCATGCAAAGCCATTTCAACAGACACTGAGCTTAAGGCAGGGAAGCATTTTAATCCTTGATGTGGTGAGCAGTGAGAACTATTGTAATAGCCCACGAAGAAAACAAGGTATTGGAAATTCACAGAACAGCAAGAAATACTACATAGAATGGGATGAGGTAATAATTTTATGTTTATTTTATTTTATACTTAATACTACTTACTGAATTATTAAACTACATTTAACTGTAGTAGGAGAAGTTATAAAAAACAGCAGCACGTAGAACAGATCAGTACCTTTTACTGTTCACTGCATTTGTTTGTACACCACCCCATTTTTAAATAAAAGTTGATTGCTCATTATGACAGGACAACTTCGAGTGGAACTGCGAGGGTTCAGATCAAGTTACCAGTTAAGAAGTTAGTGCAGAAAAAGCTGTTTTCATCACACATCATCCTTCAAAACCAGTTAGATGATTGTTTTTGCAAAGACATCTAACCTGTACTGTTAGTGGAGATCCTCAGTCCTGACATCCATAATAACCTAAAGTACAAACTTTTAAACTGCCAAGCAAATCTGGCTATCACAGAGGTTCTAGGCACCCTAAGACAAAATTATGTTGTTTAAATGTAAACTAGTAGAGTCATGAGAGCATTTCCACATTACCTTCTTAGCATGCTTCAGTGCTAATCGGAAGAGGGCACAGACTGACAGAGCTCAGCTGGGGAAACCTCTGGCAGTGCCAGCTGTGAAGTAGATGTGTTAGAAGAAGACCGCTGGATAGGTGTCGAGAGGTGGCTCTATCTGGGTTTGAATCTCTAGCTGACATGAACAGACATGTTACCCAGAATGCAGAGTGTATTGCAGCTATCTTATTCCATAGAATGAAGAGAGAATGTTTGTGCAGTGGGAGAGCATTTTCTTTGCTGCTAGCAGTTTTGCTAAAACATGTTCAACTACTTTTATAAACAGGAATATCAAGCTTGTGTCTTAAGTTTGGTGAAAAACAGTGTTTTATGCTAAGAAAGATGAGCTGTGAGAAAGCAAGAGTAAAAATAAAATGAGAGTGGAAAAGCAATCTGACGCTGTAGAGGTGTTTAATTTAGAACTTTTTTGTAAATTTTCTGTTGTTTTCTCTACATTTCTTCCTGATTCCTCCTTGCAGTTTCTTTATCATGATAAATAAGATCTTACTTGCTTTCATAGATCCCTCCTCATGGTGGATCATCGTCCAATGTGAATGGTGTACCTGAATCACTCCATTGCCAGAGTCCTGAAGGTAGGTCACCAACAATTACTAAGCGCCCTTGCAAAAATTTTGCTGTAAATAAAAATTGGTTTAGAAATGTTAGATGTTAGCCTGCTGGTTTGTCAGTCACTGCTCCCGGATTTGTATCATCAGCAAACTTGCTGGGTGGGTGAATTGTATCCCTTCATCCAGGTAATCAATGAAGATTTTGAACAAGGCTAGATATGACAATGGCATAACCTAGTTCAGGCTAAATGAACAAACAACAAACAAAAACTTGAAGCAATTGGACTGGATGCTGCCTTTTATCATATAAAGAAAATATGCATTTTTACTTGCTGTTGTGGTTTTTACACGTACTGTTGATGAATCTTTCTTTCATATATTCAAAAACAGTGAAGACACTTCAGAAAAAGTATTTTGAGTTCAGAAAGCATTCTAACTGCATTCCTCACTTTTACAATACATCCACCCTAAAGGTAATAGTTGACTTACATGCAAGAAAGGTCAAACAACTCTGCCTCATGCTGTTCATTCTTACGTTTGAGATTAAAAATAAGGGAATAAGCAGAGAGGAAAACAGCTTACACTTCCGTTTTGTATCTGTGACTGTTTTAATTCTGTATCTACCTATGGGGAATATATTACACCCTGCTGACACCTCTCTTCACTTTGTGTTACTGACCTTGCTTTTCTGCAGGTGTGAATGGAAACAAGTGCTCAGGGTCATCCACCATTCTTGAGAAATATAAAGTCGGAAAGGTGATTGGTGATGGCAATTTTGCTGTTGTGAAGGAGTGCATAGAACGGTGAGCAAGGAGAACGTTCAGTAGTGACAATTTATTTTACTGGATAGAATCCCTGTGCATTAGCACGATTGCATAGGAAATGTGATGAGATGAAAGCAAAGGGCAGTTACAAAGAAATGCTTACACTTCAGGAGAACTAGACAAAGGAAAATACGCAGAGCTTCCTATGTGTTATTCCACCAAAGGCATGTGAAAACAGCAGAGCAATGTAGCTTTTTAATCCCCAAAGCTGAAAGAGATATCACCTCTTAATGGAGGCTCTTAGGGAAACAATACAGACCTTCAAGAAACCCGTTCACACCACATGAGACTGTTGGAAATGACAGGAGATTTTTTGTGGCACCTAAGACACAGTCTTTCAGGAAGCCTCAGCAATTTTGCTGCTACGGGATCCTACTGCTTGCTGCTGACATCATTCTTCACAGCTTTTGGTATACTGTGAACAAAGTATTCTTAAAAGCATACAGTTAGCAGCAGATAGCCTGTGTGATTGGCTCCTTTCTGCTTGCTTGTTCAGTGGGGTAGCACAGTGTGGAGCCAAAGACCCTAAGTCAACCTTTTAATATTCCAGACTCTGAAATATTCTTGTGCCCAACTTCCCTGAGGGTAAGCAGGACACCTTTACAGACCTGTGCTGTATTACTGCTCATTCTCTGCAAGCTTTGTGTCATGCTTTGCTGCTGTTGTAAACAGAACAGATGATTTGACTGTCACTTTCTCAGTTTATGTCTTAGAACCACCTTCTTTATCAATCTGAGAATTATGTCAGCTTCTTAAACATTAAGAAGAATCTCCAACTTGACTATAAGCACTGAGCAAATTCTATAAAATACATAGCAGTTATCAATATATTTGATCCACATCTGCTGGTTTACTTTAAATAAACATCATTTTGAACAAGAACATCTCATTCCAATCTTAGCAGATCATATATTCACACTGGCATTCTTGCTAAGTCACGCAAATGACCCAAAAGGGTTGTGCAGTGAGGCTGAACATGCTGAACAGATATGTATAAATTACAATCCCTACCTTTATGCACCCCTTTTTTTCCCCTCAAGAGAAAGGTTCCTTGATACTGTATCTGTGTTCTTTCTTTTCTGAAAGTAGTATTGGTAGGTAATATGCAATACATCTAGTACTCTCTCTTGATTTATAGCAGATAAGAATGATCATTATTGTTAATACTTGATGACATACTAGCAACCAGGTTTATAAATTAACGAATAAAGACTTAGGTGACAGCTTCTAGAGATGCAATCTGATTACAATATTGATACAGGAAAAATAAAAAATGGCTGAGTGATGAGTACACTCTGAATAACTTCATGTTGCAAGTGCAGGGATTAGATAATGCTTCTATCAGTGTTAACGTCCAGACTCCATGGGCTTGATGTTTCCACCAGGAAACTGTGTTCATGACAAGCAGTACCACATTACAGTGAAATCATTTCCCTAGCGCTTTAAACACTGCAGGTTCGTTACAAAAATCATAAGAAGGCAATAAAGCCAGGTGTGCTGAAAAAAGAATTTGAAGTCCATTTTGTTCTGCAAGCAGCCACACATAAGAGGCTTGAGAGAAACTAAATGAATTATGCTTCACAGCGTCCTCCCACATGCTCTAAAGCTGGCCACAAATCCTTTGTTAAGTTGTGGAGCAAATAAAGTTTATAAAAGAAAGAAGGTTAAACTCATAAGATTGCATAACTTAATATTTTTAGAAATGACTACTAAGCATTTTGGAAACAGCATGATTTCCACTGAAAATGGGAAAAGGGCTACTATGTCACTTTGGTTTCTAAATGTCATCTGTGTTTTTTGGGATGAGGGGACTGGGCTAGAAAAACAACCTTCACATTAAGAAAATAAAAATAAAAAGTCAAATTTAAGCTCAATTCCATCTTTATATTTAGTAAAGCATTATTAAATGAATTTTACAAAAAAAAAAAAAAAATAATGCGATGGTTGCTGATAATAAGGAGAGAGGAAATACCAACTATAAATGCTTTTAATTTAATTTCTAGTAATTATTATACTTAATTTCTCATCATGTCATGTATGAACACTTTGGGTGTGGAGCCAGGAAGCCGTTACATCAGCTGTTCTACAAAATAAAATGGTCTCCTTTTCAAAGGGTGCCTATATGTCTATATATATGAAGACATGAGTCAACAGATGGATACTGACAGCTAGACAGAAGAATGCCAGCAATCTGTCAGACAATACTGGTCAATATGATAGGCAGTGATATCAACACACAAACTGCGTCTGCTATCCCTTGTATTTTCGTAGGTACCCTACTATAGCATTTGCAGGAGAGATTTGAAGTTGCCTCATGAACTGGCTTTACAAATGTTAGCTCCTCATTCAACACTGCACAAATGCTGAAGGTTTCCTAAGTGGGTTGTGCTGATCAGTTATTTGCAGACTTTCAGATAATGCACTTAATTTAGAATAACATAAATTGTGCTTTGAATTACGCTTTGTGTTCATAGTAGATTCTGTGTCTGTTCATAAGAGGATAGCATTTCACAGATACCATTTAGATAACACTTCTATCTAAAGACTGGATCAGGTTGTAACTATGACAACCTAGCAGATACAGCTGCACTTTGAGAGCAGAGATTCTCTGCTGCGTTTTTTAAATAATGGATCATTTGAATGTGAAATGTTAACTCAGTTCCTTTTTTGTAAGGTAGCAATTTTGATTTGCTGTATATAATGCAAAAGTGCAGTGAGAATTAACTTGTTAACTTAATAATGTACCTAATTTTTTCTTTTGTAATTGCCTGCAATGATTTTATTATATATGCAGAACACCATTACACGTGGTGTTCTGAGGCACACGTAACACTAAGTACTAACACAAAAATGGGATAGTAGCAATAGGATTTTATGACACTTTGTTTTGGTTTTTAACTCCTCCTTACTATAATTAGTAATGTGATCTTTGATTAAAGGAAAAAAAAAAAAGAAGGTAATTTATTTGTATTGCATTTTTCTTTCATTTTTTCCCCTTCTGAATAAAGGTAGAAGATTTTTATTATTGCTTAGAGGGATGAAAAGCAAAATAGAGCTCCTTCTTTTGGGGAGAATATCCACAAAAATAGTCACCCTTTTTACTTTGGATATAACCACACTCTAAAATGCCATGGCACTATAGATGATAGCTATAAAGTTCCATACACTCATGGGAATGAAAAAAAAAAAAAAAAAGAAAAAAAGAATGAATGAAATACAAAATTATCTCCTAATAAATTCAGCAGGATTTTGGACTACTATATCATGAAACACAGGGTCTTAGCTCTACTGAATCCTACCATTTTTTTTTCCATGAGGCAATCACACTTTTTTCTCTCCTCACTTACATCATAAATCAGGATGATTTTATCTTTAAAGCCTACCAGTTGAACAAAGCAAAGTGGAGAGCCCAAGACAAATTCTGCTCATTGCAGTAAAGAGGTGAGAGGGAGTTGTGCTAGGTCACAGAAGAATGAGTTGCAGCTGGAGCCTAGGAATAACACATTAAGTGAATAGGGCTGTGGTAGTCAGGGAAACAGCGGGCACAAATGTTGCTGAGAAAATGAAAAACAAAATGAAGTCTGTTCTGTTTTTTCTCAGCAGCCTCCATGGGTGAAGGCATTCCACTATGTATATTTTTATAGATAATGCCACATAATGCTGACTGATTTCTGATTAACATTTTCATATTTTTCTCACTAGATCCACAGGAAAGGAGTTTGCACTGAAGATTATAGACAAGGCTAAATGCTGCGGAAAGGTAGTGTGCGACAATTTACATGTTTAAGAAAAACAGCAGCAGCAGCAGCATGAGCAGCTGCTCATTAGTCATAAATGGGGGGTGTATTTGGGTTTCTGACTGTTTTCAGAATATCTGTTTCACAGGGTGATATTCCTTTCAAGAAACAAATAATAAAAGTTGTGAGCGTTAGTGTGCTACATTGTGGAGTAAAAAAACAGTCATCATTTTTATTGAACTAACAAACACCAGCACTTGTCCAAAATGAAATCAGACCAAACAGAGCCTAATTATTTTGATATGTAAAATACAAGAGAGGAAATTTCCTGTTTTCCCTTCCCTCTCTATCTCTTGTCCCTTTTTATGGCTGTACACACCCCTTTTATATACAGAGCATGGATTTCGGAAGAAATTTCATCAACCATTTTTTTCTGTGTATGTAGTTAAATATCTTGTAGAACAAAGATCTCTTAACAAGAGAGTTCTATACACTTTATTTCTAATACATTAAAAAAAAAAAAAAAAAAAAAAAAAAAAAAAAGCCTGCAACAGAATAGCATGTTATGTAAGAGAAGCAGGTATCCTAGAGTGTCACAGACTTCCTCCCAAGTGCAGACTTTAAAAAGCGAGGGAAAAAAAACCTAACAAATCTATAGGTAAAACATAGTCAGAAATGGAGACTAAATGTTGGAACAAAAAATAAGACTTCTATTCTACTGCTTTGCAAGACCTTAAAAACAAAGGGCTCTTGAGGAACTTATGACTCAAATGGATCACAGTTTATTGTTGCAACAGCAACACGGAAGGCACAGTATTAAACAGCAGTCAAGTTTTGTTTTAAAGACTCTGAGATAGGAAATAAATGCCATTCTTTCAAGTGTAACTAAAAGGGCAGTCTTTTATTTTGATGCAAATATCCAATTTTCTAAGTAAATGATCATAATGAAATGATTCTGGAGTTATCTTTGCAACTAAATTAGGGTTTTAATTACTTTTTATCAATTGCATAGAGTAACTGCTCTGCAGAGTAATATTCAGAGTTGTAACTGATAGGAGTGACCTTGTAGGAAGATGCTGAAAGTCCACATGATGTTCTTTGTATAGTAAGGAGCTGTACACTGCTCTGCACTGACACCCTACCTGCTGTGATGACTTGCTCTGAAGTAGAGGACCTCTGTCAGAAATGGTCTATTCATGCAGATTTTAAGTTGTGTAAGGAGATGAATGTTCCTTCCCCATTACTTTATCTCATATCCCTAGGTTTATTTAACGGAGAATTTAGAAAGAAATCTTAAAAATGTATAACCTCAAGAAAAACAGTACAAAAATTGCCTGAGATTAAAATGTAGAAATTTCTTTGGCTGTAGGAAAGTTGAACCAGTGTGTTTTACTGAAAAAGAAGTATTTTTTATTTTTTAATGCTTTGAACTTCAGATGTTTCTATTACATGTTGTCAGATATAAGCGTCATAAATTGGAATAGACCAGAGACCATTCTGTACAGTAGAGTTCAGACATATTTTCTACTTATCATTCTTGCTGCTTTAAAACAAATGAACAAAAACAGGAGGAAAAAAAATTACCACTTGTATGTTTTGAAGGGATCTTTGTCCAGATGTATGTGTATGTGCAAGCAAAGACCATACTTAACAAAGTAAATATTTAAATCTCGCTACAAGTTAGTTCTTCACCCACTCTCCTTGCCAAGATAAGTCCTGTGTTAAAAACAACTATCTGGACCAAATATGTGTGATTTGTATGTTGCCCACTGCTCGCTTCCGGTTTTTCTTGGATTGACTAAAGCATTTTCTACAATTAACCTAAATACCAATTATACTCTTCAAATAATTCCTATGAATGTAGACTGAAATCTATATTGTGCTAAAAAGGAAAACACTGGAGAAAAAAAAAAAAAAAGTTGGAAAGCTTTTTTTTAATGACAAAATATAGAAAAAACAGAGGAGTGACTGAAACCAACTGACTATACACTAGCCAATGCTTTGAAAACGAGTATCAAAGCAACAGCTCAACAATGTTTTGGAACCTCTTTTTAAAATGAGCATTAGCTATTGTCACTAGTTTTAGATAATTTCTGCCTGGGTTTTGTTTAAACGAAAGGATTTAATGATTATTACGATTTAATGATTTAGTCAAACTAAGTAAAGAAAGCATAGGTAAAAACCATTGTGTCTCAGTGAGAATTATTAGATATAATAAATTGAATATACGTTATTTGTTCTTTGGGTAGATAACTAACACTAGTTTTGAATTTACAGGCTTCCATCTATAAGGCTTAATATGCTGTGGCTGTTCACTTTTGTCTGTTGATGAGATTGAGCATTGTGTTTAACAAAATTGCTTCATGTTTATTTGTTTTCTTCCTCCAGAGCACCTTTGCTTGGAGCAGACATATGTTTGTTCAGAATGACAATTGATGCTCTTTCAAATTGAATCTCAAAGGTGTGACTGCTGAACCCGTATATGCCACACCACACTCACAAAATGAGATGCACACAGGGCATGTGGTTTCTGAGTTACACAGCCACTTAAAGCTTTGCAAAAACACAACACATCCATAAGTAAACCTGAAAATAGAAGCTAAAGTAGCATAAGATCTTTAATCACTGCTTATGCACAGTGGATCACATTTACTTCTCGTGCTCTGCTCACAAATGCATGAACTGCATGCTGCTAATCAGTGCATTAAACATGAATAAGTTCAGACTCCGGTGAGATGAGGTCTTACCTGCCAGAGGAAAGGAAACTTATGTTTTAGGCAGGCAGTGTTACTTATTTTACAGGGAATTTAAATACGACTACTGTATTCCAATATTTATAAAGGAAAATGCCAATCATTATTCCAGTGGAAGAATATGCATGCATGCAATTGTATGCAATTTTCTTCACTCAATAGCATTAACCAGATGCTAAGATATTCTGGAAAGCCAAAATCTGAAACTAATTTTTCTGTAAACCCATTACTTTCTCAGAAATATATAGAAGGATAAATTAAATGTGGATAAATTAGAAGGATAAATTAATCTGTGCACTGTTCAGCTGTTTGGAGCCACAGCGAGATGACTGAGCTGGTACATATTTTGCAGATTGCGTATCTAAAGATGCATGTAAAATAAACTGAAATCCATAACCAAAGCAGTTATCATTTTCCTATGTACAATCCATGTCCTTTTTTAAAGTGCAAGTCCTTGAAAAATAAATCCTAGGCAATCTGTCCTTGAATATTGTTCACTAAATAAGAAGTGAAGGCTGGAGAGGATCAAGAACATGTTAGCTATTGCTGGGAGGTGGCAGCTTACAAAGATCCAAGTCCAGAGGTTCTCAACCTGTTAATATCCACCTAAGAAATACAACCTGCACTTTCTGAATTGCTGTCTTATTCTGGGGTCTTTTTTAGAGACAACCCGTGGGTTATGTGTTTGAAGTATGTTGAATAAAATTTCTGGTCACTGATGAAGTACAACTGGGCTGAAATACAAGTTAAAATCCAGCATCTGACAGTAGGCTTTACTACAGAAGTGAAATAAATAGAAAAATGGGTGCTCCCTGAAGAGCTGACCAAAGGATAACTGAATGGGCCACTTTATCTCTATTCATGTATACTTCTGTACTCTTTACTGACAGGAACACCTGATTGAAAATGAAGTGTCTATTCTACGTCGAGTGAAGCATCCAAATATCATTATGCTGATAGAGGAAATGGACACTCCAACAGAACTCTATCTGGTGATGGAGCTGGTCAAGGTAAGACAAAGGAGATTTTTTTTTAAAAAGAACAGTCCTCTGTGTCAGCCAAGGATATAATGTCTAGGAGACATAATCAGATAAGATTTCAATGGCAATCTCCATTATTAATCATGCAAATAGTCTTATCAATCAGTTCCATTAGTGGCATTTACATCTCTTCTGTTGTAATTAGACTATTAGACCCACAGATTTGAGGTAATCTTGCTAACTATGTACGCAGCCTAGAGAGAAGTGGGTGGTGGTTTTATATCATTTACAACATGCAGAGCGTACCTGTGATATGCATATAGTAATGGAAAATTTGCATTTATTTCACCAATATATTTAATTATTTGCTTTAAGGGGAAAAACTCAATTTATCTTAGAAAATCATAGATACAAGTAGTCCAGACTTCACTGATTGTGTTCCATCAAAATTAAAACCTTTCACTTCTCTTCCTCGTATGAAGCATTCCTTCACTTTATTTCCAGTTGTCCAAAAACTTGATGGTGCTATTGTACACGTACAGAGAAAAAATATCTCTAATTCCATTTTACTGTCACCTTGTGAATGTAAGATACTAGTTTGATGGAGTTTTATTTCTGCACTCTCACTTACCTGTGTTCTGTACACCCACTGCAACACTGCCCATTGGCTTGGCTTGATCAGCCTGTCAGAGGAGTGCAACTCATCACTGTTTTTCCTGCCTGAAACGTTGATCCCGTAACTATCTCTAGAGCTGTTGCCGGCTTGGGAAACTGAAGAAAGCCTAGTTGTTCAAGTCAGAATTTTTGTAACCTACCCATTTATCTCCCATTCTAAAAGTTATTTTTAAATGAGAGGTTTTTCTGTTTTTAAGAAAGAATTATATTAATATTTTAATATTCCACCAGCTTGGCACGCAATTCCTGAATTGCTGCTGCTTCTCCACATGTATTGAAATGCTTGGAATGCCACCCACAGCTCAGATAAATCACTCCTACAGATGTAACCAGGGTAACCATCATAGAGACACCCACATAAAATTCATGGCAATGATTGGAAATGCTGCACAAGAAACTCATTTACATGTTGTTATGTATCCCAAGATAAAGAGGGTATCCTAATCAGACTACACAACAGGCCTACTCTGAAATCACCTGTAAGTTCTGCACTTCAAACTCATCCTGTTCAGCTGTAATAACTTGACATTTTCACAATATCTGCAACATTTCTACTTTGCAGTTCATTACAATTGCAAAACATGGTATGTTAGGCTTTTTGCTGTTGGCTGGATTTTCTTTAGGCTTTACTCAAAATCAGAGAAAGAATTAAGCTGGTAAGATGAAGAAAACAGAAACTGTATGGAGGTATCTCTGTATATCATGCATATGAGCAGTCAATCAAATGAAATCAAGTCCAAAAAAGGACTGTGATCTGTAAATGACCCAAGTTCCCATTCTACAATCTTGGTGAGAAGTTTTATGTTTCTGGAGTTTTTATCTGTTTGTTTATTTGTTTTAACATTTTAACGTGCTTCTGAGCATGCTTTTTGTGCAAGATTTTACATGGTATATTACAAATTATCTTTATTATTTTTCCTGGACTGACCTATTATCTTTCCTTACTCTAGGGAGGAGATCTATTTGATGCTATCACTTCTTCTACAAAATACACAGAGCGAGATGGGAGTGCAATGGTTTACAATCTGGCCAGCGCACTCAAGTACCTTCATGGTCTCAACATTGTGCACAGAGACATCAAGCCAGAAAATCTCCTGGTACGTTTCATTTATTTTCTAATATTTTCTTTCTTACTTCCTTCTCATTAATGCAAATGCTTGTACGTAAAAGTCAAAAAGCTGAGCAGGGAACAGAAGGAATGTTAATTTGGAATATGTACGTATAAAATAAACCTTCTACCATGAGATAGCAATCACTGTAACCCAAATGAGCTATACTCAAACATGTCCTTAGACCTATCTTTATTTACATTTTGATTGGCTGCCATTTGGACAAGTAGGAATATGGTCTCACCAAACAATGAATTTTAAAGCTGTGTTGATGAATTATTTATTACATTTTGTAAGTGGGGGATAGATGGGCTGAGAGCCACTTCTTCCAGAGATCACATGGTGATCTAAAGCTTTTTTTGAATTTTACTGTTATAGCAGGAATGAACATCCTTCTAATGACTTACCAGTATTCTAACCATGAATGAGCTCCGTACATACATTTATTTTGTCATGGGTAACTGATGACATTTTGTTTTCAGCAGAGGTATAAAGTAACTGAGTCTGTTGAAAAGAATGACCACAAAGTCTGCTCTGAGAACTGCTTAGAGAACAGTACACAGAATGGGAGCAGTGTGCTGCCTTGCTTACATAGAGGTGACACATAAGAATTATGTACTGCTTGTTAGATATTAGGTGTGATGCAATGAACAAGCAGGACATAACCTTCCCTACCTGAGTCACTCTCAACAGGAATGAAAGGAGCTTTTATTAACATTTGATGGTCATTTCTTAAAGCCTTTTGTGATATTTGTCCATCCTGTTTATTAAGGAATCCTGGCTTTTCACAAAATAGATTTTGATTTATTATAAGGATGGGATTATAAACTGAATTCTAATTAATAGTTAATTCTTTACCAACCAAGTTCTACTGGCAGTTTTCAGCAACTGACATAAACCCACAAATAAATTAGATTGTGTATCAAAAAGAAGAGGGGAGGAAGCTTCTCCCGGAAAACATAGTCATAGCAACCCAGCACTTAAAAGAGAAAATTTATCACTTAATTATCAGCAGTTCCTCAAATATAATCAATCTAAATTCATTTTAAGCTCTCATTGGTATTTGAATCAATTATAAAAAGACAAAAATGTCCTTTCTGCCTAGAAAGCCTGAAGAGATTACTCAACAGATGCAAGTCCTATTCACAGTGATTGACAATACCAGCATGCTAAGACAGCTAATTGGTATGGAATGCAAATGCAAATAATTCCCATCAGTTGCTACCTGTTCTTGGAAGTAGTTGGTTCTTTTGCACAGGTTCATCCAGCTCTCTGAATTACATTCTCTTTACCAGTCATGCATTCAAAAATATATGCTATTAGTCTTATAGTTTGTATGTGTTTATCAAGGAGAAAAATGTTTCCATTAATGATATGAATTATACAGAGAAAGGAAGAAAGGCCTTGCTACCAATTATTTGAAAAAAACCCAAACTATTTCCACCATTCTAGAGATGCTAGAGTCCTATGTCCTAGCTTCCACTGAAATCATGATAACAACATAACAACATCACTTCAAGGAAACAAAACAATATTAATTTATATGGGATGTGTCCTTATAGTTCCCTTTACTGTTAATCCAGTTTTTGTTTTTTTTTCTTGTTATCGCTGTCATATAATGTTTTTCTGTCTATTATAAGCTACCTTCCTTTCTGCAGCAAAATAACTCAGAACAAGATGATCTATGGGGCTTTTGAGTCAGGTGCATTTGGGTCTGCACAGAAATCTAAATACTTCTCAGTCAGGTTTCTTATTACTGAACTTTCCTAGTGTGACTGCAACAGCAAGACTAAGCTTAGAAAGACATTTCCTAAGAAATATTTGGCCAGTGAGAGATTTTAAACCAATCTGATGGTAGCTGCCAATCTCTAGGTCCCCATCAATTACAAATACATTATTACATTTTTAAAATATATTTAAAACTTATCAGCATTCTAGGCTTGCTTTTCTCCCTGCTTAACATGCTTAAGGCTATATAATGGGCTGACCTACATAGCTGCCAGACAGCTCAGTTGAACACTAGCTCCAGCTGCACTGTGGCAAGAAATTGCCATGCCATTTTTCTCCTCTTTCCCTAGAGCAAGCAACCAGAAACTTAACCCCAATCCATAATTTAACAGTCAGAATAGCTGTGGTGTAACAAAGAACTAATCTGTTGCTGTGCACTGGAACAAACTGTGCGTAGAAGCATCACTGCTGCTGTGCTGATCTAACAGTACTGCACCTCATTCAGAGCAAGCTGTGTGGCCATATACAGTTATTTTAAGGGCTATTACCTGTGTCTTTATCCTCAAGCTTGATGTTTGATTTATTTCAGGGTACCTTTTTGGAAGGCATAGGTAGTTGGTGAACTTGGCTACTTCTGTAGAAATGTCATGTTTGAGATCTAATGTTACCTTTATTAATCTTTTCTGGTTGTGGTGAACAAGTATTCATTCATTCACACTCATTTGGTGCACTGTGTGGTGGAAAGTAAGCAGGTGGAGAGAGCAGCACCATCGGGTAATAAACCACACTGAACTAAGTTGTTATCAGAACAAGATACGAATGCAGATATTTCACGGCAAGTTTGTTCTTCATTCCTCAAGGCAGAAGAAAAAAGTGTAATTCGGCAATTACATGAACCATCCACAGCTGAAAGTTTCATGTTATTGTTCAGATAAATTGTTTTTCCCCAGTTGTTATTTGGGGAAGAGCAGATGAGTGTTTATGGATATGAGTGTGATTATTCATTACAGTGTTGGCACTCCGCTTCTAATTCTGTTGGTTTCATTTCAGACTTGGTTCAAATAGCCTGCTGCTCTCATTTGGGCATAGTCTGTCAACAAATGGGAGTAAATACATATAGGTTTTGAGAAGCAATCAACTGATTTAACCATTGCCAGCTGTGAAATCTTAGGATCAGAAAAGATCAGCCTGGTGACAGCCTGATTCCAAATATATCATTGTCTCTTTTTTTTTTTCTACAGCTGTAGAGTGATACAAATGAGGTTATCTGTACTCTTGCTTCCATGGCAAAATCTGTTATCTGACACACGTTTTTCTCAGATGTTTTGCTGTACATAAAAGTAGCAGAACAGATGCATTTTTCTCAAATTTTATGTGTGGTGTTCATTTTTTCCAGTCATGCAAAAAAAGCTGGAAAAAACTATAGCAATTGACATTGTCCAAAGCAAATGCTCCCAGCTGTACTATCTGACCAAGTGTTTTCTGATCTAACCTTACAGATATTCTAAACTTACAGATATTCTTACACTAAATTCTATGATGAAAAGCAAATATATAAGGATTAATTGGTCAAAGTGACATCACTTAATGCAACCCAAACTAATAATGGGGGAGGGAAAGGTGACATAACACTATTTTACTGAGATCGCTGTAGAGCTAGTAATAAGAAGTACTTTAGCACCTTATCATAATTTTGTCTGTCTCTCTGGAAGGTACATAGAATTGGAAAACACATTAGAAACAACAGAAATCTCCATACATAGAATTTATTAGAAAGTGCAAGTATCACTGGATAACTTCAGCACTGCTATTTCAGCCAATGTCTTCTCTTATTTGTGAACATAGTACACCTATTCCTGTTCCAGTCTAGGCACCCTTATAGAAACTGGGATTCCACCCGTTTAAGACAGAGGAGATGCAGTGTTTTCACAGAAGTGCAAAGGCATGGTTTAACTGAAGCCTATTTGCATCCTGAAAAGTAATACAATTTCCTTGCACGTATTTTTTCTAAAACATTTTTATAGCAGACACACTAAGAAGTTACTCTGCGAGCATCTAGACAGCAACCTAACATTTCAAATTTAAAACTTCCACAGAGATGGCCATGTAACTAAATTACTAAATATTAGTGAGAGAAATGCTGAGTTTCTGGCTTTTTAGGAACTTGTAAAGACAAGAGCGTTGAGAAACTGAGTAAATAATAGCAAGAAACTATCTTCATGCATTTTCAATTTTAAATTAAGATTACTGATGTCTGGACTTTCAAGTGAAGCTTGGTTTTATGAAAATATGTAGCTTGGAAGACATTCCAGAATTGTGAACCTAACCCAATTTTAATACATGGCTGTGGAAGTTACCTCTTTTTTTCTACATTCTACATGTGGTGCTGATTATTAAAAATATAATAATAATAAATTAAAAATTTCCAATATCCTCCTCATCATTGTTTCTATTTTGCTGATTCTAGGTATGTGAATATGCAGATGGAACCAAATCTTTGAAGCTAGGAGACTTTGGACTGGCAACTGTGGTTGAGGGACCTTTATATACCGTCTGTGGTACGCCCACATATGTGGCTCCAGAAATCATTGCAGAGACAGGGTGAGGATAAGTAACTAAGACATAGGTCTTGTAACCTGTCATTTTTGGCAGGTAGCTCCTAACTGTTATGAGAACTGGAATGCTCTATCAGGATGGTCCTCAATCTCTTTTAAACAAAATAATTATGAGAAAACAGGCATCATTCAGTTCCTCAGACAGACCAGCTTCCCCATTTGCTCCCAGAGTACATGTATGCCTCCTTAACAACTCCCAAGGACACCCACTTGTGGTGCTTGTCTAAACCTGTGCTCTGAGCAGGTCTAGTTAGATCATGTCCAGATCAGGACCTCGTCTGGGTGATGCATTATGTTTGTTGCCTTGGTTTAATTAAATAACTGAATTTTTCTGTATTTATGCAGTGGTTGCCCAAACACAAAATAATTTTTACAGTAAGTCTTGCTATCTATTAGACAAGAGATCTCCCTTCCATATTAGCTGCCTCTTGCCTTAACTGTGAATTTGGACTTCTGAATGGAAGAAGGTTTGCTGGATTGATTCAAGCATCCTTCACTGTATTTGTGTTATTGGGAAATATTTCAGAGCTGGCATGAGCTCAAACATCAGAGTGCACTTCACTGGCACGTTTTAAATTTGGACAAATTGAAGGTACTGGGTAGGAAAAGAAATTGAAAAAAAAGATCTCTTTCTGACCTCTAGCATTTTAATTTCTGTGCTTTAAAAAGAAAGGTGCAGTTCTTTATTCCTTTGTTACTTGTTCGTTTAGGAGACTGGAGAATTGGTATCTTTCTTGTTGCTTAGCAACACATGATAGAGATAGTTACTGCAGGACTAAGAAAGCACCTCATTGTCTTCTATCATCAGGGATTCCGGATTGAGAAACCTTGATGCGGAATTGAATGCAGGTGTATTTGGAAAACCCTAGAGAGCCTTGAGGCTTATGGAGGTGAGGGGAGGTGGGAAGTTCCATCAAAGTGGTGCCACCAGGGCTTCTGAGACTGAAAGATCTAAATAAGATCCACGTATCCAAATAACATACAGCCAGCTCAAGTAATTTTGCAAGTCACTCCAATAAACAGTTATTTTTCAATCCAGCACAAGTAATGCAATCTTGTTTCCTCAGATACGGCTTAAAGGTGGATATTTGGGCTGCAGGTGTGATCACATACATACTGTTATGTGGATTTCCACCTTTTCGCAGGTGAGCATCTCTGTTAGTCAAAAGGAAAAATAGTAAAGACCCAAATCATTTTGTAAGCCCCATCTATCTCCCTGGAAGAGGCATTGTGGAAAAAATATACATTTAAACTGATGCTTTTTGAAGTTGGTTTCAGTTGTCCATCTCATCAGGCTTTGGTATCAGCTTTACATATTCAGTTTTCTATGGGAGCAACTGGCTTGTGCCACTGTATTCAGGGATGGAGCGCTGTGAGAGCACTTTATTTTCCTTTTGTCTTCTACGTGGGCCCCAATTCAACGAGTGTGTATGCTTTGCCCTCTAGTGTTTCTGTTTGGACACAGCTACTTACTGGTTTAGCGTCAAGGGGAAAGCTAATGGCACACAGAGGTCAGGGGAAGAATTTGCTTATGATGAGTTTTTAATCTTGTTAATCATTTTTGGTAAGCTCCATATGGTTGGTAGGGTTTGTGAATGTGATTCTCAATGTCACAGTATGAATGAAGCCTAAAAATAAGATGGATGTGTTTTGTTCGTTATTTTTTTCGTCAGAGAATGAGAAGGAATTGACATATTTTAATAAGGAATTCTTCCCTTAACATTATTTCTACAAATAGTTTGCTGAAGAAGGAAAATAAATTACAACTGCTTTGAATAGAGTTTGGGGCACGGAGGCAAAGCATTCATACCACGCCATCAGAATTAGGTCTTACCAAATTATTAGCAATTATTTGTTGAAAAACCAACACAAAAGGTTTGATTTTTCTTAACACTGAGAGGCTGAGTGGATGTTTACAGTAGGTAAGACCAACATAAGTTTTTTTGTTTGTTTAAATAAAAAGCAGCACTGCCTCTGACTTCTGAGTATTTATGACCCTATGTTTCTGATACAAACATATTTATCCAGCCAGCAGCCTGCCAGTACCCAGTCTACTGCACGTTTTCCATCCTCTCTGTGAAATACTTTCAAAATCCAGATGCAGTAGCTTAGAAGAAGCTCATTTCACTAGCATTCTTCCCCTTTACACGCCTTTTTGTGGCAGATCCTTTTGGCTGGGCAAATGACTTATGTTTAAATCACCATTCCTGTCATTGTATTTTGTGTTAACTCCGTAGTCTCTTCCAGTGGAAGCCCTTTCAACTCAATATTATTTTTCAGTTTGCGTAACTCCTGACAGCATAACTATGGCAAAGAATTCAGAGGTGCCATCGCTATATAAGCCTGCAAAGTAGGCACTTGTAATAATTCATATAACAAATTCTGTTCCATTTCCAAAATCAAATTTAAAACTCGCATGATAGATTTCATTCTCATCTCTTTCATTATTGCTGTTCCACAGTGAAAACAACCTTCAGGAAGACCTTTTTGATCAGATACTTGTGGGGAAGCTGGAATTTCCTTCACCCTACTGGGATAATATCACTGATTCAGCAAAGGTACTGATATATCTTCTAACTCTAAAGAGCTTTTCTGACAAATCACTGAGAAGACTGTGCCCTATTGGAAATGTGGGACAGAACACTGACAACAGAATGTTAACCACTCTTCCACGCTTTTTCCTATGCAAGGTGATTGCAAACTGGTAAAGTGATTTAAATATCCTTTTTTTCCTACTCTGGAGGAATACATAAGAGAATATGGTTTTCAAACAGTTTCACGAGTTTCATAGTTCTAATTTGTGCTCTTTATGTACTGTGACTGTGTACTGCCCATACAGAATCACTGTGTCCCAGTTGTGTTTTGTTCTGGTCACTTGTATGAGTACAGAGAACAAACTGGACCATTACTACTGATGTTTGGAAGAGCTGTTTTTTTGTTTGGTTTTGGAAAACTTAGTGAACGTGCATGCAGTAAGAAAGTTGTGCCGAAAAGAACTTTGAGCAAAAATTTTCACTGTAGTTTTCTTTCCCATTCTCATAACTCATTTTTCTTTACAAAGGAGTTAATTAGCCTGATGCTACATGTGAATACCGAAGCCCGATATACAGCAGCACAGATCTTAAGCCATCCCTGGGTGTCAGTGAGTAAATTACATTTTACTTATCTCTAACTTGACATTACATCTATAAATCTATTACACTGTAGTCCTCAGAAGCAGCAACACAATTCTGCTATACTCATTTTTGTTTATTCAAACACTATTGCCACTTGCACATGTAAGAGACTAGCAAGAGCCTGAAGTTTCAGCTGTTGCTAACTCTGTTGACAACCGTTTTCTAACATAACAGAGTGAAGGATATCACCTGTTGATTGAGATTAGAAAGTGCTGGAGGTTTTCATTTTGCTTCTTAAACATAACCTGACAAGCAGATGTGACTTGGGCATCTTCTAGATTGAGTGTGAAATATCACAAAAGATCATCTTTTAAAAGTGTACTTGGAAGGAAGGACTATTCTGCACATTGGCATCTCATTTGCTGCAATGCTACTTAAAAGAAATTATAACTGCCTGTTTTTTCACAAGAGAATTAGCAAATAAAATACATCGGCACTAAGCTGATGACATAGAGCTGCTGGACAGCCATGTGGAGGAACACCAAAGTATGTTGCTTATTGATTTCAAATCAGTTTTCTACTAATAAATACCAGGTTTACATGTATATAGCCAATGCTGATTTCCACGTGCATTTTAAAAGAGAAAATACGGATTTCTCTCACACAAGAGAAGACAACTGTAAGGATTTTACCTTTTGAGAGGAGCTGTTATGCACTGTATGCACCTATGGCACTGCATTTTGTTTCCTCAGTCTGGGGGATGTGATGGGCCATTTAAAATGCTTACTCAAATAAAGCCAAATGACAAATACACTTTTAACCAAGCATAGCTGTACAGTTAAAAGGTAAAAGTTGTTGCTCACGGCTGTAGGACAAATTCACGGACTGAAGTTAAGCAGTTCACATGGCATTTTAAGAAACAGAAGGTCAGACACAAAAGAGTACTTCATAGGTTCCTTTCCTACATAGTTTGTCTCAAATGGTTTGAACCATCACTCAAGTAATAGAGGGCACTCGTTTTTGGCCTGCTTACCTGAATGGTTACTTTGAGGTAGTACCTCTAGCTAATGGAACATTTCTCTTTTGCTCAGTTACATTATTTTTTTTTTCCTTACCTTCAGTATTGTGTTTGTTCTAATACAGGATGACACTTCCCCAGAGAATAATATGCAAGCTGAAGTAACAGGTAAACTGAAGCAGCACTTTAACAACACCCTACCCAAGCAAAATAATACATCTGCTGGGGTTTCTGTCATCATGGTAAGAGAAATAAAGTTTTTATACATTCATATTGTACTTAGCATATTTTTCTAACAGTACTCTGTGAGCATGTGTGGTGTAAGAACAGCAAAAGCAAAGCTGGAATAGTCCCTAATTCTAGTTGTGTACTGTATGGATTGTCCTACTGTCGCTTGAGAGCAGCCAAGTCTATCATGGTGTGCTAGCTAAGCTACAAAAACAAGCTTTCAGATACATGTAAACACTAAGTAGTAATATATTGAAATGGAGTTTATTAACTCGAAATCCTTCATTGAAAAAAACTGTAATTTTAATCATACTGATCAGCTAGCTGCTGAAGTAGGCTCCTCTATTCTGCCCAAGCAATGCTCCATCTTGAGCATACTGTTGTTCAATACTGTGTTTGTGGGGAAAACCAGATTCCCATTCAGAAATTCTTTTCATAGTATTGAATATTTACCACATTAATTTTGTCCCACTGCAACTCTAGCTATGTATGTTATGTATGCTCCTTACAGGGAACATTAATCAAAGCGTACAAAGGAAACTACTTAAGTAGATGTAGGAGAATCACAGTTGAGTTCCCTGCTATCAGTGCTCAGAACTGTGTTTCTAGTTGATGGGCCACTTTTTCATAGAAAAACGCAACAGTCCAAGAGCTTGAGCTGCCATTCCCATATTGAGGCCCACTGCTGTCTAATTTAAGGATGTGCTCTGCATACAAATAGTATCTTTCATTACTAGAAAAAACACAAAATTATCACTGATAGTAAAGTACCAGTGTTTTTTTTCCTTGATAGCTTTAACTATTCTGAATATACAGCCCACTTACGTTACCAAAGAGTTATTCTTATCATCTGAAAGTAGGTAAACTTGTAAACTTAAATAACGTGTGCATATGTTTATGCTTCTGCAAATACATTTACATGAATTAAATAGGCAGTAGGAAGAGTAGAAGACTAAAAATGAGAGAAGTCAGAAAATGGATTTCAGGTTCATGCTGTTGTCTGCATTTCATTTGACAGTTTGACTTGACAGTTTGAGAGGGACTTCAGAGCTTCATTCTTTATTCTGTTGAGACTATGGATAAGCCTGAAGCTGAAAACTGGTATAAAATGCAATATATGTAATAAAAGCAATTTTAATTCTAACTCTCAGCCCCTCTCCAACTTGCATGTGACTTAAGCCTATCTCAGATCTCTGACACAGTGTAGCTTCTGGCTTCTTATTGGTGCGGTTTTTTCCCCTCAATTCCATAACTACTGCCAGCCCTTCAGCCAAGAATGTTATTAAATCTTTCGATTCTCCTTTTTCCTGCCCTATTTCCTCCTAGCAGTTGTGAAAGGAAAACAATTAAAAGGAAACAATTAAATATTTAGTTCTGAATGCAGCTTGGAGTTAATGCTGAAGGGAAAATAAACTGTTCAAAACAGTGTAATTTAATGAGAATTAAGCCCTAAATTTTGTTACTCTTGCTCTGGATTATTTACAGCATTAAAATTTAGTTATCTTCCTGGGCTTCACTTACATCAAAACATTCGGACAAGCACAGTATTGTAACCACTGTGTACTGTAATGCATTGCTATTGCTAGATCAGTCCACCTGCATATTTAATGGAATCCCTTTTAGCATCACTTCATTCAAATATTGCCACCTGGACAATGCAGATAATACCATCGTGTGGCAGATAAGTAAAACTGCACATACTTACTTCAATGTTCTTGAATAGGAGACTTTTTCTGCCCCTCAAAAGCATACTGCTGTTAACTCATTATTGATTTTTTTTTTTTTTTTGTCAGTTTAAAACTGTTCTGTTAATCAATATTTGTTGCAATTGTGTTAGTTCTGCTTTAAGTAAGTCTAGTTTCTGTCCCTTGCTTCCCTCCTTTTTCCTCCTTTCCCCATGCCTGCATTGCTTTCCTCTGAATAGGTCCAAGGCAATGGTACGTACTAACTGCAGTGCTTTGTTCTGCTGCACAAAAAAAATACATGTGCTCTGTCTGTCACAAGGAGAAAGGAGAAATAATTCAGCCAGTCTGAAGTGGAAAAGAGCTAAAGCCACACAGAAACACCAAAGTAAAAAAAATCTTAAACACTTGCAAAGAAGTTTTGTGTATTAAGGGAGGCATATTTGAAATTTTCTAAGCTAGCACTGATAACAACTAGTTATTTCTCACTTCCTCAGACACTCAGTTCATTTCCCTGAGAGCAATTCTGTGCATGTGTACATCTTACAATATCTGAAAGCAATCAGAAAAAGTATATATCTGCTACTGTTCACTCCATGAAGTTATAACATTGGATACCCTTCTGTGTCCCAGGAGCAAACTGACAGCTGGCAAATTTTCCTTGTCAGTGTGACACAAACAGCCAAGACTAACAAAACATTGAACTGCATGATGAGTGAAAAGATAGGAATTGTACGAAGAAGGTACCACAGTAAGGACACAGAGAGGTGAAAAAAAAACCACCTAAAACGCAACCTACTGAAATAGAAATTGTTTCCATTTCAAATAAAATTTTTGAGACTAATTCCAGAACAACCTGCCTTCCATATACCTGTAAACTATTGAAGACCTGTACCTGTTGAAAAGCTGGAGCTACCAGTCAAGCTTTCTTTACTAAAGTCAGATGAAAGAGAAATCTGAATTCTGATAGCCCACAGTCATTTTTCACTTAAGATTTTTCACTTCTTAACATGAACAGTTAATTAGGAGAACAGAGGCTCACTACTTAGGTTCTGCCTTGTCCTTGGTATCTTTGATGCAATAAACTACAGCAGAAAAACACATGGCATATTTAATTCCTATCAGAAAATTATTTCAGTATCCAGACCAAAAGATTTAGAAAGTTTCCACTAACACTTGGAAACCACTGCATTACAGAAGTCCTTCTGAACAATTAAATGAAAGAACATAAAAGACAGAGCACCTAATTTATTTTAACAGTAGAACATTCTGGCTGAAAACAAATCGCTACATAAGTGTTTTATAATGCTTATACATAAATAGGAAGACATTTCCATGCAGGTGAAGCACACATTTGTGTCTGTCTTCTCACTACAAGTATCACAGATTTGCAGATTACTGTAGAAAGCCCAATCAACTTGCACTTGACCAGAGGAAGTGCATCTTGTACCATTCCACATAACTGAATAAACTAGAAAGAACTTAATCTCTATTAAGTCTATATTCTCATTGGTACTTGTGGTTAAGCCAACAAGCATAGCGATTTGTAACAATCAATATCAGCCTTCAAACTGTGAAACAAGACCCATTATGCTGTCCCTCCAAACCCTGGAAAACAATTCTGAAATTTCTGACACAGGAACTACCAGATTTCCCTCTTGCTCACCTTCAGACATTCTACTAGAAATGAAACATTACCCCACAGTGTAATGTAATATTAATTTGCAATAGCTTTCAGAGATGAAAGTAGTATGGTTTAGCAGACACACCACATTTTCCAAGACAATCTACCTGATGCACTACAGAGTTCTTTCCAGGCTGATCTGCTACTCTTTCTCCCACTTGCATTTTTTAGCAACACTTTTCAGAAATGATGCATTTTTGTAACTGCATTCTGTTAACTTTTTACAAACAAGCAGTAAGGGATTCTACTAGAGATAGAAAGACTCCTCAGCTTCCAGATGTTACCTTCACACACCAGTAGTTCTGGTCTTTACAGAAGCGCATATTATGCTCAAATTAAAAGATATGTAGTTAACTCTCTGTGTCTCGATAAATGCAGGTACATACATTTTGCTAATGTAAAGAGAGTTCAGACAATATCACAATCGCTTGTTATTTTTCTCTCCACATCAGACTTGCAAAAAAACTGTCAATTTGGATCACCACAGCAAATAAGTATCTTCAAGATAGTTTTCCAATGCCAGCACTTCAAAACAAAAAACAATTTTATAAGTTTTCTAATGTTATTTCTCCTTTTTTTCTGGCTCTAACGCATGCACTTAATGTCTTGTAGATTGTTTTAACCCCATGTTCAACACAGGGATTTGATTTAACTGCTGTTTTTTGTATTTTTTGCCTTGGGTTTTTTGTCTGTTTTTAGAACACAGCTCTAGATAAAGAGAGTCAGATTTTCTGCAGCAAGCGCTGTCAGGACTCCGGTAGAGCTGGAATGGAGAAAACTTCTGCAATTACTGCTGCAGCTGCTGATCCACACGCAGCCGGGTCCGAGACCCTACTCCCTGCTGCTTCTGAGCCAGTCAGATCCCCCACGCTCCCCACCTCAGCGTCTCCTGAGTTTGCTGGGGAGCAGTCTGGTGTGCAGGACTGACTAAACCAAATCCACCCGAATGTCCCTGTGCTCTTGCCACGGTTTCTCCTCATTTCACATGACAGTTTGTTTTCAGTTTTCTTGCACCCTCCTGTGGTGAGCCCAAAGCAGGCTCTGCCACAAGACACTGAACTTCAAAAGCGAGTGAGTAAATGTGGTTTTTTGAGTGCTCTTTGCCATCAGCAGTAGGGAGAAAAGATTCTGGTAATGTTAGATGATTTTTAAGTTATCTGTGTTAGTTTAATTTCCTGCATTCACACACTCTTGGGCTCTAAGTAGACTAACTTTATGTGTAGCTAACCGCAAAGGCACCTGAGATGATGAAGGATTGCCCAGCCTCACTTGTACAAGCGGGCCCCAGTGTGTTCTGATGAGGGTTCTCAGAAAAGCAGGAGAGGAAAACAAGGAAAGAAAAGTTCCATTCACCTTCTACTCTGATGCCTCTATTTTTAGGCAAGTGTCTACCAAACTTGAAGAGGCATATTTTCACAAAAAATAAAAAAATAATAAAAAAAAGTAGGGAACTAACTGTAAAATATTGAGAGGCAAATACTGGAGATACAGGAAAGGGTGGGCATTTTTTTGCATAAAGTTTGTTATCAGACTTGCAGACTGCAGGGTAGTGTTTAGCTAATTTGAATTTTAATAAGGGGACTTGGGATGTAAACACAAGCGCTGGTCATTTATTTGTAATAAAGACCAGAGTCAAGGAAGCCTTTTGGTTCTAGCCTTTTTCTATCCTAATCACAGATATCACACCCTTCTCCAGTCAGTCTACCTGTTAGATACAATAAAATGACTTTGGGCCTGCAAACAGAATGCCTGCTGCATGTTACCTAGCTAGGATGGCCAGAGCAGTATTTAGTTCTAGAGAGAGCTGACAGGAGCTACTCAAAGCAGCCGCCATCAGTAGCTAGCAGCAGTCTGTCAGCACTATTCCCCCCACTCACCTGGTGCAGGCACTGGAAACATGGACTGGGGAGCAGACATGCTTAATCTGCAGTCACGGATAGAGGAGGTTTTATCTTTACCATACTGCTTCATTCAATATTGTATGTATTCAGCTTATTCTTTTCCTTTGCTTGTTCTTTTCAATTGGTCATAGGTCATTTTCTTTCTTAGCTATACTTTCTACTAGAATTGTAAACAAAGACCTGCAATAAACTTTCTTCATTAAAAAAAACAAAAAAACAAAAAAACAAAAAAAAACAACCAAACAAAAAACAGCTCTCAATCATTTATTTCTCTGAGAATTCAGTTATCTTGTCTCTGAAGAGTCTGACCACTTGGGTGCATCGCAAGAAGATTTCATAAAATAAATCCGAGTATTTCTCATACGCTTTTAAAGTCCCTTGATTTCAATGGAGGACCAAGGCAATACACAACTGATCATAACTGAAAATACTCTGCCTTATTCAAAAAGGCAATAAAGCGCACAAAACGCCAATTTCTAACCTACGCTCATGGAACAGCTGAGAGATTTACAGGTACAGTGACAAAAAAAAATCAGTTGTGAAGGAATGAAAAGGTATTACAGGTATGAAAAGAGATTACAGGCCCTAATGAAAAAAAAATTGGGCTTGATTGAGACAACAAAATTTGAATTGCAACTATAGTTACTGTGAATTAACTCTTTTTACAGGCTTACTGGAACGAGGTCAAATTTACTTGAAAATATGAAAATGGACATAGTATAAAATTAAGTACATTTACATTTTCAAATAGTGTAAAAATATGAAGATAGCAGTCTGGCCTTACACAGAAAATGATGAGACTTGCATGAGATAGATGCATATACAGTTAGCAAGTTCTGCAGTAAGTCATAGACTATGCTGAAGAAGGGATGCAAAATTTTCAGATGGGATAGACTAATGCACCTACAACAAGGAAAGGGAGCACTAAACAGAGATGACACTGATAAATTACTGAATTGAGTTAAGAAGTGAGTAAGGAGGAAGAAGCGGCAAAATGATAAGGATTGGGTCATTTTGAGGTGGTGTTTTTTTTCTTTTTTTTTTTTCTTCTAAGAGGATGAATATTCAGCTATAGGTACTTATTTTACAAAGGAAAAATGGACAAGGATTAATAGAATCATAGAATCACCAAGGTTGGAAAAGACCTAAAAGATCATCCAGTCAAACCGTTCACCTATTACCAATAGCTCCCACTAAAGAGATCCCACTATAGAGATAGCTAACAATTTGTCTTCAACAAAGCCTCATGCTTTTGTGAAGGAAAGGATGAAAATCTGACTGGTAACTGGCTGCAATTTAAACTATTATGTATGCCTTTACCCTCTTCTACAAAACAAAATATCTAGAACTCACATACCTAGGTTTATGAATGACCAACATGTAAACATTCATAGACAAGTACTGTGGTTTGCAGAGGAGACAGCACATAGACTACGCCAAAATCACCTACTTAATACTGACCATCGCTCTGAAAGATGATCTTGTGGTGAACATATCAGATAAAAACATGCTATATCTAGGCAAATTCTTAACTTAGTCTTTGACCTTAAAAAAACCATATCGCTTCTCTGTGCCTTAATTTGGCACCAAAGACAATAAAGCTATGGGTGCATAGGTGGCATAGTAACACTACTCAAAGCATCACAGTTTAACATCAAAAGAGAGACATGCTGGTTAATAATAAAACACGTAATGAAGGCTCCTTAGTATTGTGTGGTTTGTTATCTACTGCACTTTCATTTAACCTATCACTCTTTCAACCCATCACTTGCACGAAGAAAGCAAAAAAAAATCCAGCATAAAAAGATACGGTAAAACAGAACCATGCTCTACTTTCAAGCGAAAGAATCAACATGTATCAACATCTACAAAATTTTAAACTCAAGTGATCCTTTGTCCAAGAGGACTGTCATCTCTTCCATTTTATAAAAACAACTGGAAGTCATGAATTGTTTTGATACCTATTGATTAAATGCCAGTGTTTGCAAATACTCAGCACAACTACCACCATGCCTATGTTTTAAAAAATGGAATTATAAACATCAATCCTTTTAAAAAGCCTCTATTTTTAGCTTCTTGGAGTGTGATTAATTTATACCCCAGTAGATCAAGTTCACAAGTTCTAGACTCAAAATCTCTCCTTAACAGAATTGAGTCCACCCCAGCTATAAGTCAACATAACACTAAATTCACTATGGTTGCTGTCAAAATTTACTCTTACCCCTATTCTTGGCTTATAAAATTAATTACAATAATTGTCATTAAGTACATTAAGGTAGAAGATATTTTATGACATTACTACCACAGCAGAGATCTGTTGCTTTTAAATGCAAACAGTTCTCCCCCTCCCCTCCCAATTTCACTAAATACATAAGAAGCTAAGAAAAAAGCAATGACTGAAATTTAACACATTTTAGGGCATCTTGTTCTCAAATTAAATATGTAATTTTTAAAACCTAAGTTAATTATATATATAAGATACCAGAAAGACATTTCTTCCAATACCTTATTGCCATTTTTTCTTTCCTGCTCATTAGAACTCCAAGACTGATCTGTATCTCGTCTAACAACTGCATATTCCCTGTGAGGATGCCATGAATATTTCTGTGTTTGTTACAGAAATACTTCGATTACTCTTTAACAGTTGAACATACAGAAGTGTTTATTCCTGTAGAATACCATCAATGACAAGTTGTTGCAAAATAAAGGAACTAATGATTAGCTTTCATTTACATATGCAGGAAAAAAAACAGGACAAAAAACCCCAAACCACAACTTGGCAATGCCATCTCTGCAGAACACAAGAAAATATATATAAGAAAAGTTACGCTGACATTTTAACATCTGAAAAGAGCAGGAAAAAATGCAGCTCTAGAACAAAGAAGCAAAATGAACATTGCTACGGATACTACCTATATATGCTGAAGTTCCACAGTGAAAAGAAATAATCATATCTATTTAAAGGTAGGAGATACAGAACAGTAAAATTCCTTCTCGCATTCTCATGTGACTAGGATGTTCTGATGGCTCTCCTGCACTATGAAAACAGTATCTGTTTTCTCCAGTAGGCCAGCCTTGTGATAGCATATTTTCCTTTCTCCTATCCAAGTGACATTATACAAAAATAAACTTACTATCCAATATCCCGAAGCAATACACCATCAAGTGGCAGAAGAGAGAGAGAAGAGAAGGTCCAATGGGAATACAGGGAAAGGATTATAAGAATGCAGAGTTATGCACTGTTTGCTTCTGAGTTGCAAGCACATTCAAGGTACTTGGTGCTTGTTGGAGCTGTAGCTCTTAGTGCTGCTCCAGAGCAGAGCAAAGGAAACTCTTCAGCACCCTGGAGATCAGAAGCAAGACACTGCCTGTGATTTCAACAGGGATCACAGCTAGAGTAGATGCTATTTCATTTATCTAATTGAAAAAAAAAAAAAAAAACAAACAAAAAAAACACATTAGCCAGGAAGCATTAACTTGATATAATGCTGTCTGTACTCTCCTCAAAACAGGTTTCAATTTCCTGTTTACAGAAGTGGATCTGATCATCTCAGGATCTAAATTTATGCAGCAAGCATATTGTAAACCAAGCACACATACTGAAGTAATTATCTGCTTTTATATAAGTATTTCAAGCTAATGGAGGGAAGGTTGGATATAGGTTGGATACAAGGAAAAAGTTTTTTTACAGTGAGGTTGGGGATGCACTGGAACAGGTAGGTTGCCCTGTCCATCCATGGAGACATTCAAGACCAGGCTGGATGGAGCTTTCAGCAACCCAATCCAGCTGTGGTGTCCCTGTTCATTGCAGGGCCATAGATGGCCTTTAAAGGTCACTTCCAACTCTAAGGATTCTATGATTCTGTTTATCAATTATTTTTGGTTATAGCAGTTTGAAAAATGGAGCAGTGTATTTACATGGGTTTGTTTCAACCTACATTCAAATGGCAACTGGAAAGCAAGAGAAATGCACAGAACTATCCTGACACTGATTTTTTTTATAAGATTGAATACAGCAAGGTAATCCAACACTCCTCCTGACATCACTTTCCACATGCAAGTGTTAAGCACAATTAGGGAAGTGATAAATTGCTTCTATTCACTGTGGTATCTATCTGGCCTTTAAAAAAAGAAAAAAGAAAGGATAAAAAGTCACACTCAGCTATCGAAAGCACTTGTCATTACTAAGTGCACAAATGAAGAGTGAAAACCAATACAGGCAGCAGAGAGTGTGGCAGTGCCCTTTCTGAATGCCTGAGGGTACTGCTGGGTTGGGACTTAACAGCTACACCTGCACAACTGCTTTGGGGCAAGGGCTGCCTTTTAGTGCCCTTCCAGCACTTCCATCAGCAGGAAGGTGATCCTTTGTGAGTTAGTCTTTTATTATTATTGTTAGACTAAATTAGCATTGTAAAAACATATAGGGGCAGGGTCTGAAGAAGAAAGCTGCCATGCAACCATCCACCAAGTTTTTTCTTCAACTGTTCCTTCTGATTTATTTCTTTCCAAATGACAGTGGATTTTTATTCCTTTGTCATATTTGGAAATGGCAACAAAAAAGAAGCATGCAAAACGCAGCTTGCAGAGAAGCAAAGCCTTGCCAGAAAGCACCAGCAACTATTCCCTTCTCCCCAGATTTATATTTGCCAGAGGGTTAGTGTGCTTAAACATTCAAACGTTTAAACACAGTTTAAAAATGCTGCTTAAAAAGACACCAGCTTTACTGTTCTATGTGCTGTCTACAACAGCCACATTTTGTTTTTGCAGCTAGCAGGGCTTGCTCAAATACAGATTTCTAGCACACAGGATGATAAACACAAGAAAAAGCAGAAAAAAAAACCCTGCAATCTGCAAATCCATTGCTGGACACAACATGTTCTAAATACACAAACAGACTCAGCTATATTAGTTGTATTTCATGGTTTTGCAGCTCAGAACTTACAGTGCATACTGAATGAAGTAACAGCCAAAGAAAAATTTATAACTTGAAGAAAACAGAAATGATCATCTATCTAACTCTTACCACTTAGTAAATAGCAATGCATTTTTTTTTTCCTATGCAGTTCATACAGCACAACCTCCAAAGCACTTAACTAGATGTCTTCTGTTAGCTGAGTACATAACACAGCTCATGTATGAGTCTGTGATTTCAAATTTTGCTAAATATAAAAGTCACTCTGCATTTCAATAATATGGTTCCTAATAGCATCACAATTAATTTATAAGATAATTATTTCCCATGGCTTCTACGAAGTTGTGAAATCTCACATGACTACACAAAACCCCATCCAGGAAAGCTCACAATAGTTTACAGCAACACACACGGAAAAGCTCATCTCTGCTTTTGTTTTGCTAGGATGCAGTAAGCTTTTTAGAAACAACACATTCATCTTCTATTCCTTTTGAACTATTTCAAATGTAGGACGTGCCCTAGCAGCAGCACTCATCACTCACAAGTTGATGAAAATGAAACTTGGCGTGTAAAGCAGAAAAGCTATAATCCAGACAGACACCATAGCTAGCCTATTCTTACTCAATATATCTAAAAGCAGTTATGTCCTCACTGAGGTTGCAATAAAAATCATTTCCCACACAAGTCCTGGTTTTGGATTTCATGTTGCTAGTACAAGAAAAGAAAAACAATTTTTGTTCCATATTGCCACCCCTCTATAAAACACACAAGGTTTTTATTGCTTTTGTTCTCTCTGTAACAACAGAAGAGACTCCACTGTTGCTTAAAAATGCCCAGCCTGACCACACACATTAGCAGCACCACAGGAGTAAAGGATCTCTAAAACATCTTGAAACAGAACTTCAGTTTGCACATCATCTCTCATCAGATCCTGTACAGCACACATCAGCCATTTCCACATGCTTACAACTCATTTCAAGCTACCTGAGCTCAATATTTCCCCACAAACTGAACTCCCAATAACAGTAAGTGCTGCTTTCCAAAACACCAGCCATAAGCTCCAGTTAAAAAAAAAAAACAAAAAACATTTGAACTCACCGGAACAAAAGGAGGCCCAGACTGCCAGGTAAAAAAGCTCCGCTCATAAATGTTCCCTCTACATTTTGAAAAAATAAAGAACTGGAAGAAGAGGAGCTTTTCTACCCTACTCCTTCTTCCAGAACATTCTGCAAATAACAGCCAGCTCAGATGCAGGTTGATGACTGGCACCTGCTCATGCCTCCCTGTGCAGGCATGAACCTGACACAGGTGCTACTCTGATGAGAAACCTGATAGCTGCAAAATTAACCCTTTTTTCCACCCCAGCATGAGGTGGACTAGCACAAGCAGAACTGACATCCCAGTTAAGAGTCTCACCACCAAATACTGTGCTTGAGGTGTGTGCTTACCATGGGACGAGAGACTTCTGCTCGCTGTTGCCTCCAGCCAAGCAGCCCAGACATGGAAGGTCTTCTCAGCCTCACTCCTGGAGACGAAGGTGAAGATTTCCAGGATACCCACAGCATTTGTGATGTGCAAAATGTCACGCTGCAAAGGAACACATTCTGCTTCCCAGATGAGTACTTTCTGCTATGGCACAGCTGCCACCATTATGCACCCACCAATTGGATTCAGCTCAGGATGGCACCAGAGCCAACACAGATGCAGTTACCTTTGCACTTTGGAAAGGCAGTTAATGACCAATGGAGCCTTTTAGACTACAATCAAGCTCACATGGGTGTTCACT